GGGTCTCTCAGCCTGCCTGCTCACAGTCCTGAAGTCCTCAGGGGCGGGAGGCAACCCGGCCATCAGGGGAAAGGGACGCCCCCATCACACCTCTGCTGCTGCCACTGCCGGCAGCGCTAGCCTCGGCCGGCCCTGGCTACCTGAGCCTTGGGCAGCCCTGGGTGGCTGGATAGCCACCATGCAAGACTTGCCTGCACCTCGGGCCAAGCCTGGAGGGCTGAGGGCGGCTGGAGGGCTGAGGGTGGGTCCGGCCGCACCATGTGCCTGCCGTCCTCCTCTTCCCCACCCGGCTGGGCTGAAAGGACTGTGGGACTCCGGCAGGGCTGAGGGGACTGGGTGCCACCATCTTGTGGCTATGGGCACCGCCATATGTGTGACGGTGTGACAGTCAATTTGCATATCCCATTTTTATTAGGTAGGATGCTGAAATGGACAAGCTTATATATACATGCCATTTCTCATGTGTGTTGTCAGAGAAATTCTTATATGTAGACTTACTGGCTCAAAAGATATGAGCATTTATAATTTTGTTAGATATTGTGAATTTCTCTTAATGGAGGTCATTTTAATTTACAAGCATATCTGCTTTGTAACTGCCCGTTTCTCACACTTTTGCCAACATACTGTGGTTATCAAACTTTTAAATTTTTGCCAATCTGAGTAAGTGAAAAAATAAATTTTCAATGTAGTTTTAATTTGCAATTTTCTAACGGAAAAAATAAATTGGCGAACTTTTATTTTAGGACAAAGAGCTACAAAGTTATGGGGAGTTATTATCTGAGCCTTAATGTTGTTTATGAAGTCTGTAGCAGGTCAGCATTGAAGGTCAGAGATCAAGAACATGGCCATATGCCCAGAACAAAGATGGAAAGAAAAGTCAGCAGGCCCCCGTTAAAGCATTTTTGCCTCCACAGAGTCCCTGATGATGTCCCTAGAAGGTAACCTTTCTTTTTATGTGGATGCAATTAGAAGCTAAGTTTCAGATTCCCCAATGGCCACAAAAGTTGCTTCTAATTACTTACAGATGGTGGTGATTTTTTTTTCTTTCTTTCTTTAATCGATCCCATGGAAAAATGAAGTAAAACAGATTCTATATTTATAGATATAACTAAGGTACACAATAGAACTGTTGGGGGACAGGGGTGGACCAAGTCATCTGGGTCACCTGAGGGTTATAAAGATTAAATGGTATGTCTAACACCAGGAGTATTCTGCTTAGGGAGGAGGCATGCTGCTAATTAGCATAATTGCCTGATGACTGACAGAGACAATGTCAGTGGTTTGTTTTTATTTTGTGTTTGGTGCTTTTGCACAGGGACAATCATTCAATGGTGTTTAATGCCGTCTCCCTAAAAGCAATCACATGCCTTTCCCTAGAGTCATGTATATGTTAGTTACACGCCTGTCTTTACAACAGGAACTTCAAAAGCACCTGAGAGTTGTCATCATGTAATGAAATAAAAAGGGAAGATTGGGAGTTAGGCCTGTAGGGTTTGCACTTGCTCTTCACTAGCTGTGTGACCTGGAGCAAGTCACTTGATCTTTCATTTCTATTAAAAAATTTTTTTTAAATCCTCACCTGAGGATATGTTTTTAGAGAGGAGAAGGGAGAGAGAGAAACATCAGTAGGAGAAACACCCATTGGTCGCCTCCCGTACCCACCGCACGAGGGGGTCAAACCAGCAACCTAGGGATATGGGTAGGTATGTGCCCTGAGCAGCAACCTTTTGGTGTAAGGAGGACACCCCAATCCACTGAGCCACCCGGTCAGGGCAAGCCACTGACCTTTCTGAGCTCCCATTTCTCCAGTTGAAAAATGGAGATAACAGTCTGACCATATGCCCCTGGTTCTTGTTGAGGGGATAATGGAACACTGTCGGCGTGAAAAGGCTTTACAACCGTAAATCGCGACACATCTGTTAGCTGATCTAATATTGACAGTGCAGAAACTTCGTCAAACACAGTATCCTCAGATTAAGTCTCTGGAAAAGACTGCTCCTCTTTGAAAGCTTTTAGCACGTCCAAAACAGGTCATTAGAGAAAGATTTGGATTCAGGTTGTCTGACATTTAATGATCAGCAACATCCCTCCTAAGTGGTAAGCGGAAGAGCCTCTGGGGGAAAGCGTTGCCTTAAACATAGGCTCAGAGGAAAAATGACTAGTATTTCATGGGCCTAACAGACAGCGAGGGATGGGATTTGTCCCATCAGCAAAGAGCAAGGCCTTAGGGCAGCGGTTCTCAACCTTGGCTGCCCATTAGAATCACCTGGGAATCTTTTTAAAATCCTGATTTCTGGGCCTCATTCCGGAGGATGAGAACCGCTGCCTTAGTGTGTGTGCATTGAAAAGTGGGTCGCGCCTGCTTCCCAGGTGTTCCGGTGTTCTTAGCACTTTTTCATTCGAGGATCTCACAGCTCTGGAGCTCAGGTCTCTAACCTTTAGCAGGAATTTGCTAGTAAACCTCTCAGAAGTGAAGATAACGCCTGGTATTTGCTAGTAAACCTCTTAGAAGTGAAGATCATGCAGATAATACTACCGACGGGGAGTCGGACACTGAGGAAACAGTCCCCGCTGGTTCCTCGCAAACCTCTGTCCTGATAACGCTGCCAGCTTCCCACGCCCTGCCACCCCCGGGTCACTCCCCGCTGCCGGGCGCCCCCGCGGGCGGCCGTCGGAGAGCTCGCTCGGGGCACCCAGGTGCCGGGAGGGCCGCGGGAGGCAGGCCTTCCCCGCAGCCGGGCGGCACTGGGCGCGGAGGAGGGCCGGGTTGCCCGCGAGCCCCGTGCGTCTGGATGGTGACGTTCGGCCAGTGCGCAGGCGGCCGCCGCGTCGCACGTGGCAACAGGTGCAGC